CAGGACGCACCCACCCATTGTGGATTATGAGGTCCCAGGCTCCCCTCTTCTGGTACAGGTGCATCCTCCTCTGATGTTGCGTGAGGTTGAAGTTCCTGATGAAGTTTTTGCCCCCTTGCCACTCTCATGGGCCCGCTGTCCCATGTGGGTCTCCAGTGGTGGGTGGGTAAGAAGTTCCTGACGAAGACATTGCTGCCCTGGCCACACCTGTATGGCCACCCACTGGTACGGCTGGTTGGGTGCAAGTGTAGGGACGAGTGCTCTGGGAGATGAGCATTTGCAGGCCTTCTCCCCAATGTGCACACGCCGGTGGATGGTGAGGCACGACTGCTGGGTGAACTGTTTCCCACAAGTGGCACGCAGGAAGGACTTCTCGCTGTATGGATTACTTGGTGCTTCTTCAGGCACCAGTTACAGCCATAAACCTGCCACAATACATGCACTGGAAGGACTTTTTCTCTATGGGAGGTTAGCAGGGTGGAAGAGCCTTGAAGTACCTGAGTTCTTCCCATGCCTGGTGAAGGGATACTCACTCAGCCTGCTTGGTCCTTCCCATCTCCACGGAGCAGGCAAGTGGCTTTGCTGTTCAAATGCCTTAAATTCATGATATTCATGGTCTAACGCTTAAAACATGTACAACCTCCTTCTACAGGTCCCTGTAATCCACTGTGTCCAGCCCATCAGGTCACCCTGTGTCCCTGCTGCTTCGCAGGTACAACCCCGGAACCCATTCCTCCCGGGTGCTTCTGCCTCCCTTGCCATGGTCCTTTCATGTCAGGTCTAGTCTCAAAGTCTGAGGGGAGTGGGAAAGAGACAACAGATGTGCAGTTAACAATGCAGGGAATAAGGACCTCCCCAAGACACCACAAGGTACAGCCTGAGAGGAGGGCACAGTTGTCTTCTCTTTATCAACTGGGAACATGCCCCAATGTCCCCTTCTGAGAGAGGCCCCCCCTAACTGCCAGAACTCAAACAGCCCCACCCCTCACTTTGTACTCATCGCCTGTGACCTTGCTCACAAATGAGCAGCAAGCGCTCCTTGAGACCAAGGGCTGTGGTTCGCTCACTGCTGGACCTCCAGTGCCTTGAACATTCCAGGCACAGAGGAGGTGTTCAGATACTTGTTAGCAAGCGACTCACAGTTCACCTGTAGCCCTTTGTCTCTTGAGATTCCTGCTTTCAGAGGATGCAGAAATCCTAGGTCTTCATGTATTAGGCATCTTTCTTATTTCTTCCAACAACCTCTTCCCCAAACACTAAGCGGGAAAGAAAACAACTCAGGCTCCTTCATGACCCAACTCTCCCGCTACCATCATCACACACAGTTGTCACTGTCACATGAATGTCCCAGCACCATTCAAATTCAGCAGTGAAAAAATTCCAATTTCACACTTTCATCTCCTCCTCTGCCACCTCTTATTGCCTCTCAGCCCCCCTGGGAAGCAGGTGATCACCTGTAAGGATACATTCCCTCCTACGCAGCTTTTTAAATAAATATGGGTCAAAGGAAAACTCTACCTATGAACTTTCATCTCACGGAGAATGCTTACTGGGTAAATGAGCATCCATGAAAAGGAGATGGGAAATCTTTCAAGACTACTGATGCTGCTGATGGCTGTATGTGTGAGGTGGGGAGATGGACAGATGTAATTGCCCATTATTATTTCTCTCTGGTCCTGTTAGGCTAGCAAACCCCAGGGAAATCTCTTCTGATAACTCGCATGAGACATGTTTGTACTTAAACCTCCTGTCCATCTCAGGAAGTGATGTTAAAACTAGAATGATGGTATATAGTAAAAGAGGAGGGTGTTTAAACATGCCTAGATTAGCCCAGGCTGTTGTGGCTCAGTGGATTCAGTGTTGGCCTGCAAACCAAGGGGTCTTCGGTTCAGTTCCCAGTTGGGGCACATGCCTTGTCTGCGGACAGGGTCCCCAGGTGGGCGCAGAAGATGCAACCACACATTAATGTTTCTCTCCCTCTCTTTCTCCCTCCTTTACCCTCTCTCTGAAAATAAATATTAAAAAAATAAATTTTCATAAAGTCAGTATGCAACATGAAGCAGTCTTAGAGATCCCCTGCTGTACAACATTGTCCACTAATTATATGATACCCTATTGTACACTTAAATTTTTGTTAAGAGGGTAGATCTCAGGCCCTGTCTGGTTGGCACGGTTGGTTGCAGCATCGTTCTGTAACCAAAAGATTTCAGGTTGTTGTGGAACAAGCTGGGATTCTGCTGCCTGCTGCAGCCCTCTAGGAAAAATTCCAGAGGCAAAGGTTTGGTGAGGAAGAAAAGGACTTTGTTGAAAGCTTCATTAGAATAATCACTCGGGCCTATCAAGTCACAGCTTTAATCACTTAACCCTGTCAGTGAAGACTAACTTCTAATACCTGAGTTTTATCTTTTTCCCCTGTTTGTTTCTATAGGATGAGTTTACAAACTAAAACAACATAATACACAAAAGTCACACAATTGCGGACGGGTGGCAGGCTTCTGCCCCAGAGCTTGTTCCCTCCAGAATACAAATAGCGCTGCCACCCTCTGCCACGCCAGCCCGATCCTAAGCTGTTCCCGGAGTTCCTTCCTATAGAAAATACTGTCTGTTGGGAAATGCAGGCAGCAGCAGGGTGCTTATCCCAGCATCCTCGAGGAAGAAGAGCCTGAGCCCCAGCCTGAACTGAAGAGAGAACTTGTTCAAGAGCCAGAGAGCTCCCTTTTTATTGACATAAGCTCTGGAGGCACTCAGCTTCTCAGTCAATCCCATCCTAGACTGCTTAGTTTCCTGGGCAGACTTAAATTACAGCTCCTCCCTACCTCTGTCCAGTGATCTGATCAGATCTCTCCCTATTAAGGTTCCATCCCTGGTCAGGGTTTTATGAGAGGCAACTGATGTAGTTTCTCATGTGGATCTCTCTCTCCCTATCTCTAAAGTTAATAAACATATCTTCACATGAGGAGGTTTTGTTTTTTGGGTTTTTTTATAAGGCAGGGGGTACATTTTAAGTGCTTTTGCACACCAAGAAATAAAATGCCATCTTAACAGCAAAATATTAAAATATAAGCTTTCTACTTGTCACAGTGTCCTGCGCTGTTATGCTTTTTTTATGCTACCACATAACAAATTTCACTGAAGTTGTATTACTTCAAGAAAATTAAAAACAAGGGCTTGGAGGGTCTGGCTCAGTGGAATGAATGCTGGACTGTTAAGCAAAGGGTTGCTGGTTCAATTCCCAACCAAGGCACGGGCCTGCGTTGCTTATTGGGTCCCAGGTCAGGAGCACACCAGAGGCAACCACACATTGATGCTTCTTTCCCTCTCTAAAAATAAATAAAATCTTTAAACACACACACACATGAGAGTGCACACAAGATACTGTTGTCAACTGTTTTTTCATTTAATGCTATATCTCAGAGTCCCTTCCAACACTGGCATCCACAGTTCTTCCTAACAATTTCTTACTTAGATGGATCAAATATATTTAGCCAACGGTCTAAGGATGAATCCTTGGGTGTTGCCAATGTTTCCTCACTTCTACACATGGTATCCCTGAGCCCTGGTTGAGAGGACATTGTCCTGTCCCCTGCTATCTATACAGCTGCCTTCTCTTTGCTGAGGCTGTGCTCCAATATTCCTTTCTGAGAGAGGCCCTCCCTTCACTTTCTACCTCATCACCTTTGATCTCACTCAGACAAGAGAAGCAGGGGCTTCATGAGGCAAGGGACTGTGGTTCCCTCACTGCTGGACTCCCAGTGCCTGGAACAGGGCCTGGCCCAGAGGAGGCGCTCATGTACTTTTTGGGCGACTTGCTGTTCACCTGAAGCCTCTCATCTCTTTGAGATTCCTGCTTATTAGAGGATGCAGAAATTCTCGGTCTTCAGTATTAGGCATTAGCTTTCTTTTCTTCTTCTTTTTTTAAAAGAGATAACAAGTATTTTTTAAAAAAGATTTTATTTATTTATTTTTAGAGAGAGGGAAGGGAGTGATAGAGAGAGGGAGAGAAACATCAATGTACAAGAGACACATCGATCCCTTGCTTTACCTAAGCCTCCAACTGGGGACCTGGACAGCAACCCAGGCATGTGTTTCGACTGGGAATCTAACTGGGAACCTTTAGGTGAACAGGCCAGCACTCAGTCCACTGAGCCACACTAGTCAGAGTGGCATGCACTTTATTTCTTCAAACAGCCTCCCCCTGACCACTAAGCAGAAAAGAAAACAACTCAGACTCCCTCTTGACCCAATTCCTTCTGCCCCCATCCACACTCGCCTGCCACATGGACCTCCCTGCGCCACGTGAAATTCAGCACTGAAGAGAAGCCAGCTTCACACTTGTCTCTCCTTCTCCTCTTCTTGCCATGTTTTAGCCTGTTTGGAAAGCAGGTGATCATGTGTAAAGAGGTATTTCCTTATAGGCAGCTCTTTAAAAAACTTGGGGCAAAGAAAAATACTCCTACGAAGTTTCATGCCATGGGGAATGTTTATGGAGCAAATGAGCATCCATGATTGCTGAGATGAGAAATCACTGAAACTCCTAATGCTGCTGGTGGGAATGTGTGTGTGGTAGGATGAACAGATATAATTTCCTCATAATATTTCTCCATTATCACGGGAAACCAGCTAACTCCAGGAAACCTGTTCTGATAATGGGCGTAACACATGCTGTAACCATTCCCAAGCCAGGAATCTAGGGCTGCAAGGGGTACGTGGATTGCGATCTGCTGCTAGGTTATTGTGGGGCATTTGTGCTCCCTCCCCCTAATCATTAATACTCATTTGGATGGGACAACTGTTACTTCCCCCTTTTGCACCTGCCCACTGTTCAAAATGATGTTGGTGGCTCTGGATGCTGTTTCTCAGTGGACTGTAAGCCAGCCTGTGAACTGAAAGGTCACTGGTATGATTACCAGTCAGGGCATATGCCTGGGTTGTGAGCCTTCTCAGACATCAGTGTTTCTATCCCACTCTTTCTCCCTCCATTCCCCTTGTCCAAAGATAGATAAAATTTTAGAAAAAAAAATGATGTTGGTGTCAATTAACTAAAAGATTTATTTTTTAAAAAATTCAAAAGAGCACTATGAGAAACTTTGGTATCTGAAGTGACTGTTACTTCCTAATCCTGAAAAATATTATTTCTCCTCATGACCCACCTGGTAACTTCTACAGCTTATGGGCGTGGGGCCTTCCAGCTGGTGTTGCAGGGAAACTAGGGGCTGTGTGTGGGGAAAACAAGGAAACATACAGATGGCGACAACCCAATCTCTGGACTAGATCCAGGCATGTGTGACAAACTGACCATGTCCCCATGAAGCGCACATCCCCCTCTTTCTTCCTCCTCCACCTCCTCCACTTTACTATTGAAAAGATGGAGACCCAGAGACACTAAATGTGTTGTCCAATCTCACAGACAGTTTTTTCCAGCTCGGTTTGGAGCCACGGTGCCCCGGCCACACTCCCAGATACTAGATCAGTAGGAGGACTTGCTTTCCACATGACCCTGCAGATCCTCTGGAAGCAGCTGGTGAGCATGGTGTGGCCTGTTCCCCATGCCCACAGCCCTCAGACCTGTCTGGGCAGGACTTCTCTTACATCTCCCCGTGGGCTCCAATGTCAAGTCTGGCACTGGCCCATGGGCTCAGGACCTGCCAGTAGAGTGTGGATTCTGAGATCCCATTCACATCTGCTACCTGTACATCCTCCTCTGGTGTCATGTGAGGTTGAGGTTCTTGCTGAAGGTTTTCCTGCACTTGCCACACTTACAGGGCTTATGCCTCACAGGGATCCTCCAGTGGACAGGGAGCAAAAAGCTCCTAATGAAGGCTTTGCCGCACTTATAAAGGTTCTCCATGGGGTGGCTGGTCAGGTGATTCTACAGGGACAAGCATGTCATGAAGTCCTTCTGGCACTTGGAGCACCGGCAGGGCTACTCCTCAGTGTGCATTTGCCTGTGCTTCCTGAACAAGGAGTTCTTGCTAAAGGCCTTGTGGCACTGGCCTCCCATATACAGCTTCTCCCCAGAGTGTATTCTTTGATGCTCAATGAGGCTACCATTCTGAATGAAGGCTTTGCTGCAGTCCCCACATGCCTATAGCTTCTCCTGGGTATGTGTCTTCTGATGCAGGATGAGTTTTCCTTTCTTGATAAAGGCCTTGCCGCAGTGCCCGCACACATATGGCTTCTCTCCAGTGTGTGTCCTCTGATGTACTATGAGGCTTGATTTCTGACTGAAGGCCTTGCCACAGTCCCCACATGCATATGGCTTCGCCCCTGTGTGTGTTCTCTGATGCACAATAAGGCTCGATTGCTGGCGGAAGAGTTTGCCACAGTTTCCACATGAGTATGGCTTCTCTCTGGTGTGTGTCCTCTGATGAACTATGAGGCTTCTGTTGAGACTGAAGGACTTGCCACAGTCCTCGCACACATAAGGTTTCTCTCCAGTGTGCGTTCTCTGATGCCCAATGAGGCTCCTATTCTGGCTGAAGCCCTTCCCACAATACCTGCACACGTATGGCTTCTCTCCAGTGTGTGTCCTCTGATGTTCGATGAGGTTCCATTTTTGGTTGAAGGGCTTGCCACAGTCTGCGCACGTGTACAGTTTCTCCCCGGTGTGCATCCTCTGATGCACAATGAGGATCCTGTTCACACTGAAAGATTTGCCGCAGTACCTGCACATATATGGCTTCTCTCCAGTGTGTGTCCTCTGATGCTCAATGAGGCACCTATTCTCTCTGAAGGCCTTGCCACAGTCCCCGCACACATATGGCTTCTCCCCAGTGTGTGTCCTCTCATGCAGTACAAGGTTCCGTCTCTTGCTAAAGGCCTTGCCACAGTCGCCGCACATGTACGGCTTCTCCCCAGTGTGTGTCCTCTGATGCTCGATAAGGCGCCTATTCTCTATGAATGCCTTGCCGCAGTCCCTGCACACATATGGCTTCTCCCCGGTGTGCGTTCTCTGGTGTAGGATAATGTCACCCTTCTGCCTGAAGGACTTGCTGCACACTCCACACATATATGGCTTCTCCCCAGTGTGGATTAGTTGGTGCTTCCGCAGAGACGAACTGTAGCTGAAAGTCTTGTCACACTGTCCACAATTGTATGTCTTCTTCTCTGCACAAAGTTCAGAGAAAGGACCGAGGTGTGAAGTACCTGAGCTCTTCACACACATGGTGAAGGGGTGGGTCCCCGGTCCTCTTGGTTCTTCCAGTCTTGCCGGGGATGACATGGGGCTTTGGTGGACGAATGTCTTAAATTCACAACACTCAGGTGCTAACACTTGTGACATGTCCAAATGTTGTAAACAGGTTCCTGTGCTCCTGTGTTGTTGCCCATCCCTGTCACCCAGTATCCCTGCTGTTTCACCGGCGTAACCCTGGGCTCCATTTTTCCTGAGACCTTCCACTGCCACCGCAATGGACGGTCTATCTTCCCAAGAATCCTTCTCTGGGTCTGGTTCACTCATGTTTTGTTTAGTTTCCAAGTCTGTTGGAAGGAGGAAAGAGATGATGACACAAATGTAGTTAACCATGTTGAGAGGGAGGACCTTCCCAAGATACGACAAGGCACAGCCTAAGAACAGGGGACAGCCTGTCCTAGCAACACAGGGAGAAGGGGAGCCATGATCTGAGACAGTGAGTTGTAGAGAGATGACTACAGAGAGGGAAAGGGCTAATTGGGGGTGGGGCAAAGATGGCCAGCAGAGCTCAGAGCTGGGAGGAAAGACCCTGAAGAGAAAGAGGAAGAAAGTGGGCTTGGAGGAGCAGATCACAGGATCCCACACAGCCGGTGAGGGTTCACTGCACTGGGCACCTAGCTTCCAAGCCTCATCTTGCACATATCCAGCCAGATCTGCTTCTCAATGCATTGACTGTTACTACTAATGAAAAACTAAAAGCAGATTCTCATGTGGTTGTTCTGGTTGTCCTGTCTCCCCACCTACCAGTGAAGCTCCCTCATTCCTATGCTGCTCAGGAGCAGCCTTGCCCTTGAGCTGGATCCTCACACCTTCTCTTAGCATACTACTCTCTCCCTGCTGACCATACCCACTCCAAGCCCCTTGTGCCTTGTCCCATGTGTTCCTCAATCTCTATTTCCAGTCAACGGGGCTGCCCTGAGTTCTAGACTCTGTAAATGGACTTTACGGTTCATCCAAACATGTAAAAACTGTGACATCTTACACAAAAATCTCATTTAAAAAGGGAGGATCCTTCCACACGTAGCCATCCTTCTTGGAGGGAACAAAGAAAGCAGGAGTGGTAAGCAGCTGTCTCCCTATCCCCATTAAAGCCCTCATTGGCCACACGACCCCTGAGTTTGAGACCCTTCCCCTGAGTCTACAACTGAAAACAATCCTTACGTTCATCAGCAAATGAAATGATAAAACACATGGTGGTCTATTCCTGAAGTAGAATATTACTCAGCAATAAAAGAAAGTCTACTGTTGTCCTGCATGCCTAGTTCAGCTGGTTGGAGCGTCGTCACGTGCACCAAAGATTGAGAGTTCGATCCAAGTTCAGGGCTTGTATTGGAGGCAAAAGATTGATTTTTCTCACACACTTTCCTCTCTCTCAAATCAATAAAAGAAAAAACTGAGGAATAAATGAAGGGAATTATTCATACATACAGTTGATGTTGAGTGAACCTTAAAGAAATAATGTAAAGTGTAAGAAAGCAGGTAAAAAATAAAGAATACATGCCATATGATTCCATATATAAAAATTCTGGAATAGGCAAACTAAACCACTGTGGTTGCTGGAGGAGGGGGTGTGGACAAAATGAATGAAAACCTTTTGGGCTAATAGACATGTCTGCATCACAAAGATGACTTCCCAGGTGGATACAAATGTCAAAGTGTGCGAAATCATTCGCTTTAACTACGTGCAGTTAACAGATCAGCTAAACTACCAGAAAAGCTGTTAACGAAATGGAACTGTATACTAATTCTGAAAGTTAGTGTTTTTCCTGAAGAATACTATCCAGGGACATCTTTCTGTGTCAATGACTACAAAAAATGCCCATCTTTGCAGAGTTTTGTGATTACCATCACATTTCTTCATCCTGATTTCTTCATTCAGTCTGATAGGTAGACATCTACAGCATTTCTCTTGATATTTCTTCCTATAAAACTCTGGGGAATTTCGGTCAAGATGGAGGTATAGATAAACAGGCTTTGCCTTGTCGCACAACTATGGAAAAAATTACAACTAGACTGACAACCATGAACTTAAAGAAGCAATATTCATCCAGGCGGGTAGGAGGGGCAGAGTCACAGAGATGGACAGAAAAGAGAAGAAATGGGGTGTAGCATGGAGAGATAGTGGATAAAAACAGGGAAGGATACTTCACAAGCGAAGAATCCCAGCCCCAGGCCTGACCACACAGCCCACTGTTTCAGGCCAGGAAGATCAAACCCCATAACTTCTGGCTATAAAAATCAGTAGGTGTTGGGGTGGCACAAAAGATACTGCTGGATTTTCAGGAGACTCCTCCTAAAGGCTCCCCACAGACTTAGGACTTACTCAGTCCCACGCACTCTGAGATTCAGCACCAGTACAGCAGCTAAGAGGGCACCAGTGATATACGGGGAGAAAGCGAAGTGTCTGGAAACACAGTGAGTGCCAGGAGGCAACTCCCTCCCAGGCAAAAAGCCAAAAGCCAGGAGCCACCACTGTGTCCGCTCCAAGTTTTCTGCCCACATAGATCCAAAAATGTGTGACATGGGTTGCCCTGCCTTGGCATTACATAAAGCTCTGCCCCACACAATTTACATGTGCCTCTTCTACAATAGGACACACTGCTAACACAGGGAGTCAAAGTAGCTCTATCTAATATACAGAAACAAACATATGGAGGCCGGCAAATTGAGACACAAAGAAATATGGCACAAATCAAAGAACAGAACAAAACCCCAGAAAAAGAACTAAACGAAATGGAGAGTACCACCCTATCAGATGCAGAGTTCAAGAACTGATTATCAGGATGCTGAAAACTCATCGAGTACAGGAACAGAATAAAAAAGACCCAGTAAGAAATGAAGGATTCAATAAGTGAAATAAGCTGAAATCTACAGGGAACTAACAGTAAAGGAGATTAAGCTGAGAGTAAAATCAATGATTTAGAACATAAGAATGTAATAAGCATTTAGCCCTGGCTGGTGTGGTTCAGTGGACTGAGTGGCAGCCTGCAAACCAAAGGGTTGCCAGTTTGATTCCACATGCCTGAGTTGGGGACAAGGTCCTTAGTTGGGGGCATGCAGAGGCAACCACCCATTAATGTTTCTCTCATTATCTTTCTCCCTCTCTTCCCTCTCTTAAAAATAAATAAAATCTTAAAAAAAAAAAAAAGAAAGAAAGAAAGAAAGCAATAAGTACTTAACCAGATCAGCAAGAAGAAAAAAATAATTTGAAAATACAAGGATAGTATAAACAGCCCCCAGGATATACCCAAAGATGCCAACATATGAATCATAGGAATGCCAAAAGGGGAAGAGGAAGAGCAAGAAATTGAAAAGTTACTTGAAAAAATAATGAAAGAAAACTTCCCTAATATGGTGAATGAAACAGACATACAAGTCCGGGAAGCACAGAGATGCCCAAACAACTTGGACCCAAAGAGGACCACACCAACATACATCATAATAAAAATGCCAAACATTAAAGATAAAGAGAGACTCTTTACAGCAGCAAGAGAACAGCAGAGGCTTACCTACAAAGCAGTTCCCATAACACAGTTAACTGACTTCTCAAAAGAAACTCTACAGGCAATAAGGGACTGGCAAGAAGTATTCGAAGTGATGAAAAGTAAGGTTCTACAATCTCATTGATGCTATCCAGCAAAGCTATCATTTAGAATGAAGGTATAGATAAAGTGCTTTCCAGACAAAGCAGTTTATCACCACCAAGCTATTATTACATGAAATGTGAAAAGGACTTATTTAAGAAGATCAAAACTATGAACATTAATATGAAACAAATTCACAACTATCGCAACTGAATCTAAAAACCAAACTAAGCAACCAGAACTGCAACAGAATCATAGATATGGAGGTCATTTGAAGGGTTATCAGCTGAGAAGGGAAAGAGAAGAATATGGGGAAAAGGTGCAGGGATTAAGCAGCATAAATTGGAAGGTACAGAATAGATGGGGGATGTTAACAGTAGTAGAGGAAATGGAGAAGCTAAAGAACTTACATGCATGACCCATGGACATCAACTAAGGGGGGAAGAATTCCTGGAGGGAAGGGGGCTACTGGGTAAAGGAGGGTAAAGGGGAAAAAATTGGGACAACTGTAATAGCCTAATCAATAAAAAGTATTTCAAGAAGAAATGTACACTTGAATCTTATATGATCCTATTAGCCAATGTCACCACAATAATTTTATTTTAAAAACAAAACAGTGATGTTAGTTAGCCCCTTTTAAAATCAATCACAACAAGTACCTCAAAATGGACTAAAGACCTAAAGAAAGAGATAAAATTCTAAAAGTTGTAGACAAAACAGTAAAGTAAATCTTTGTGTCCTTTGGTTAGGCAACGGTCCTTCAGATATGGCACCAAAAGCACAAGGAACAACAAAATAAATATTTGGACCCCATCAACATTAATAACAAGAGTGTTCCAAATGATGCTACTGAAGAAAAGAAAAGAGTACCTGCAAAATGGGAGTAATAGGTGCAAAGCACATATACCATAAAAGTCTTAGAGCAAAAATTAACAACAAAGAATATGTAAAGAAATTTCAAAATTGAATGATAAGGAAGCAAACAACCCAACTAAAGAAACACTCAAAAGACTTGAACCAGAAACTTCACCGAAGAGAATATACTGATGGCCAATAAGCACCTGGAAAGGTTCTCAATACCACCTGCAAGCTGGGCTGTGCTAAGACTGCAAAAGAGGGAAAACAGCTGAAATGAGCATATTCAGTTCTGACAAGCACACAGACCAATGCAATACCCAGTGCTTGCTGGTGGAAATGAAAAATGAGACAACTGCTTTGGAGAAAAGTTTGGCAGTTTCTGAAAAAGTTAAATATACACCTACGTATGACCCAACCACTCTCAACAGAAAGGACATCATGTGTCTACAGAAAGGTATCCCAATCTGGAAACAATCTACATGTTTGTCTTCAAGTGAACAGATAAACACAAGGTGCTCTATCCATGAAGTAGGATATTACTCAGCAATAATAAGAAGTGACCTTTGCCCTGGCTCGGTGAACCAATCGGATGAAGTATGTCATGGGCAACAAAAGGCTGTGGGTTTGAAACCTGGGCTGAGCCTGTATGAGGCATGTGACTGAAATTTTTCTCTTTTTCTTTCAAATCAATCGTGTGATGACTTAAAAAAAAACATAGAGGGGGAAAAAAGGAAACTATTCATACATACAGTCAACATTAGTAAACCTCAAAGAAGTTATGCCATGGGTAAGAACCCATACAGGGAAAAAAAAAAACAAGACGCCCCAGCTGGTGTGGCTCAGTGGATTGAGTCTTGGCCTGCAAACCAAAGGGTCACTAGTTGGATTCCAAGTCAGGGTGCACACATTTCTATATCTGCGAATTGAATGCTGATAAGCTGGGTCCATCTCCCTATCATTCATTTCCTGTTTTTCTCATTAATGTGTAAGAGCTCTTTTGATATTTATAATCCTCTGACTGTTATACATCCTGTAAATACTCTTCCCCACTTTACCACCTATCAAATTCATTTTTAGCTTTGTGTAATTTGAACGTCCTATATGTCAGATATGTACACTTTTCTACTTCCGTGTCATCCTGACAGGCAGATGGTGAGTAACGTGGCAAAGCTGCCCCCTTACCCAATGACACGAGGTTCCAGTAGGTCTCCATCATCACGTCCCTGTACAGGTCCTTCTGCGCAGGCTTCAGCTGCTGCCACTCCTCCGGGGTGAAGTCCACAATCACATCCCTGAATGCCACCGACCCCTGTAAGAGGAAGCGCATACCGCTCACCACAGGGCCCTCCTCACAGAGGTCAGGAGGTGCGGCCAGAAGGGCCAAGAAGACCAGGGAAGGCGCACAGGATGCACCTGACATGGTGTCAACACAGTGTGGAGCTCTGAAGGGCCTCACTACTCAGTGTCCTCAGTGCCTAACTACAGTGGGTGGTCCTCAGATGGGCAAATAAACTATGGGGCTATTCATAGGAAGGCAAACACCACAATGCAAAAAACCTGAACAGACACATCTCCAAAGAGGAGATACAAATGGACAATATACATATGAAAAAAGGCTCCATGTCACTCATCATCAGAGAGCTGCAAATTGAAACGTCAATGACATATCAGCTCACACATCTTAGATGGAAACTCTCACTGCCAATACCATCTGGTCAATACCATCCAGACACCATCCAGACACGTGCCTGAACAGTGGCACTTCACAGGGGTGTCTGGGAACTTGGAAGCTGTGGTCTGAGGATGAGTCCATGGGCGAGATTCCAGGAGGGACTGGTGGTTCAAGACCTGAGGCTTAAACGGTATACTGGAGCCTTGACAATACTGATGCCAAAATATCCAAATCAATAAAGTTACTGGTGAAAATGAAAAATGTGTCTTTTACTTCACAGAAAAATAATTAACAGTCTTTTTGGACAACCCAGTAAGTATGATCTACTGAAATTACCATAAAGGTCAGAAACTCATCCACAATCTCCCAAAGTTTTCTCCTGCCCCCTTTATTGTTGTACTAGTTTCATTTTAACTTTTTCAATATAACCCCTGGCCTTGGCTGGTGTGCTGAATGGATTGCGTGCCTGCCTGCAAACCATGATTTCAACGGTTCCATTCCCGGTCAAGGCACATGCCTGGGATGCAGGCCAGGTTCCCATGCAGGCCAGGTTTGGGGGCATGTGAGAGACAGCTGATTGATGTCTCTCTCTCACATCAATGTTTCTCTCCCTCTCCTTCTCCCTCCCTTGCCTTCTCTCTATAAAATCTTTAAAATAAATAAACAGATAAAACTCCTGCTGAACGACATTCCTAAGTCTGCTCACCTGAATCAACTCACTCAATGAAATTTTTACCAAGCAGGTTCCATGCTTGGAGCCTGGGCTGGGACAGACTGGAAACCCAAGTTGGTCCCGGGCGGCTGGGTGCCCACATTCTACAACAAGTGTGGGAGGTGAGACACAGGGCTCCTCCTCAGAAGGGTTGGGAGATTCCCCTAGAAAGGGGGCTTCCCTCCAAGTGTATCAAAACCCTCTGAGTGCTCTGTTGGCACATGACTGAGGCCACTCATTCAAGGATTCCATCTGTTTCGGATTTTTGTCTAATAGCGCAAACCACTTTGGTGCAAGAAAAACCTCACCTAGTTCCAAAGAGCTGAAATCAGGCTCTATTTTCTTTTATCCTCAGTTGAGGGTACATATATTGATTTTATAGGGAGAGGAAGGCAGACTCAGAGAGAGACAGAGACATCGGTCTGTTTGTGTCATGCATGTGTCCTGACAGGGGATTGAACCCACAACCTTTTGGTGTATCGGACAATACCATAACCAAGTGAGACACCCAGCCAGGGCAGGCTCTCTTTTTAGAAAAATCAGAATGAAATTACACTAAAAGAGATTAAGAAAAAGAAATTTAACCCCCAAGAGCGAACAACAGAAATACGTCAACCATCCAGAAATCCTAAACAATGTTGGTAAAATAGGAAACCAAGACAACCATTACAGAAAATGTAAAAATGGAGATGTTATGGTGGAGTCATGTTGGAAAACAGTCAGATCATTCCTTAAATGGTTAATATGCTAATATCTCAGGACCCATTATTTCCTCTCATACACTCAAGAGAAACGAAATCAAACAAAGTACTGTATGTAAATGTTCACAGCAGAATCACTAATAACAACCAATCAGTGGAAACAAACCAAAAGTACACCACCTGATAAATGCATACAACAGTCTACCAGTACAATGGAATAGTATACAGCCATGACAAGGGTCACCTAATACAACATGGAGGTACATAAAAAACATGATGTCCAGGAAAAGCATCCAAGATACAAAAACCCACATGTTGTATTATTATAGTTATAGAAATGTCCAGCCCTGACCGGGTCACTCAGTTGCAGCATGGTGTGTACAACTAAAGGTTAACAGTGTGGTCCCAAATGGACTGCATATGGGAGGCAACTGATGGATGTTTCACTCACATTGATGTTTCTTTTCTACTTTCTCCCTCCATTCCTTTCCCTCTAAAAATAAATAAATAAAATCTTAATAAAATAAAAACAATTTGCACACCATAAACAGTGAATAAACATTTCTGACATATCAATCCTCACATTCCTGTCTGGTGTGGGTCATTGGACTGGGTGCTGGCTTTGGAACCAAAAGATCTCTGTTTCTATTCAAATCAGGGCACATGCCTGGGTTGTGGACCAGGTCCCCTGGTTCAGGGCGTGCAACAGGTAGTCAAAGGATGATTCTTCACATCCACCTTTCTCTCTCCCTCCCTCTTTCCCCACTCTCTAAATATAAATAAAAAAATCTTTAAAAAAATCAAGCCTCACTAATACCACAAAGATTGTATTCAGAAAGAGATCACATGACATCAGTTGTCACCTACCACAGGGATAGTTTTTACCATTTGTTATTTACACTCTATGAGCAGAATAAGCACAAAACAAGGACCTACGTGAAAGAGCGGCAGCCCCTGCTGCACGGTGGAGGGAGAATAAACTGTCCCAACCCCTAATTACATAGACTCCTGAAAGGCGTTAAATAAACCCACCCCAACATTCCTCTGCGAGGAATCGCGGAGAAAGTAATCACAAAAAACTCTGGCTGGTATGGCTCAGTGGATTGAATGCTGGATTGCAAAGCCAAGGGCGCTGGTTTGATTCCCAGTTAGGGCACACGCCTGGGTTGTGGGCCAAGTGCCCAGCAGGGGGTGTGCGAGAGGCAACCACACATTGATGCTTCTCTGCTTCCCTTTCTCTAAAAATAAAATAAACAAATTCTTAAAAAAAAAAAAAAAAAGAAAAAGAAAAAAACATAAAAAGCCCTGGCTGTTGTGGCCCAGTGGATTGAGCACCAGCCTGCAACTGAAAGGTCTCCTGTTTCATTCTGAGTCAGTGCACATGCCTAGGCTACTGGCCAGAGACCCTGTAAGGGCCAGTGAAAGACAACCCATCAACGTTTATCTCGCACACTGATGTTTCTTTCCCTATATCTCTCCATCCCTACTCCTCTCTCTAAAAATTAAATAAAATGTTTACACAGCTGCTCCACATTCATAATTAAAAATAAAGATAAAAAAATCATACAAAATGCAGGGCAAATACTTATGCCCTGGCCCGGCCACATGGCTCAGAAGGCTGAAACACTGGCCTATAAACCAGAGTTGCGGGTTCTATACCAGGTTGGAGTGCATGTGGCAGGCAAACAATCGAAATTTGTCTCTCACAAAGTTAGAATCGGTGCCCTATTCTAACTCTTCTTTTCTCCCTAAAACTCAATGAACATATCCTTTGTTGACAATGAAAAAAAAGTTTACCCCCCAGACATAAATACATATAAATTTACTGATTTGAGAGACAAAGAGAAATAGATGTTGTTCCACTTATTGATGAATTCATTGGTCGCCTTTCGAAAGTGCCCTGACCAGGGATTGAACCCACACCTTTGGCAAATCAAGATGATCCTCTAAACAACCGAGCTGTATCTGTACATTTTTATTGTAAAGTATTTCTCCCATAGAAGGGAATTTAGAGAAAATACCACAAACAGACACCCACTAAAACAGAAAACATCACGATGACAGAGAGGGACATTCACAGGTCCCTCACCACAGGCGTCCTCCACCCATTCTATTCCAGTCCCCTGGGCATTTAGTGCCGCCTGCCTACTTCTGAAGGTCCCTCATCCAGCATTTCCTGTCTGAGGCCTCTGTCACACTTCACTGAATATGTTTAAGCTGCCACATCCCAGATGCCCACAGGCATCTCCTGAGAGCCCCCAGGGTAGGACAGCTCACTCCTGAGCCATCCTGTCCCCTGCGGTTGAAAAATACCAGTGTCAGGACAGTATTCTCCTAATTCAGGGTGGACAAAACCCCAAGAGACGGGAGAGGGGCCTGGGCCCTGATGGGACTGGGGGGGCCGAGGGTCATCCCTGCCCAGATGTATGACCCAAAGGAAGGAGGAGCCAGAAAGTGACATGACTCACCAGGATGTTCTTGGTCCGCAGCTGGGTGGCCATCCTTCCAGTGCCCATGGCGACCCGGGCATGAGCAGGCTGTGTGCAGGGGGAGAAAGAGAAAGGCACAGTGAGAGATCAGGTGGACACCTAGCTCTCAAGGTAGACATGACAGACACAGCCACTAGGAGACAGGAAGACAAGGACATGCACAGACATTAATAGTGAATGCATGCAGGGGCCCATGCCTCCAAGGTCTTCCGACTGACATCCCTGATTTAAGGCTCCAGACATCCTGCCATGTGGGGGTTATTGCCACTCACCCCAGTACACGGATGAGGAAACTGAATCCCAAAAAGATAAGCCATGTGACCAAGAAGATACAAGTGGAATTAGGGTGGGGCTGAGTACATCAGGGTCCATGTCCTTGGTGCACGTTCACACCCACACATTGACACTGTCCCAGTGCCAACGTGCATACAGGCAGTCCCATAGCCTGGAGAGAGGAACGGGACCCTCTGCCCTCTCAGCCCTGGGTTTGGTTTACCCAAGAAGCACAGTGGGCCCAGGGCAGCTGGCACCGCTAGGTGCCCTTGATAATATCATCATCTCTTTTAATACTATAAGAGAAAACGCAAATCTAATCCAGTCTCGACTATTTTTGTCTTTACAGCAATGTAATCACTACTCCAATTTTACTTTACTTAAAGGAGGCCGGGAGGGCACCATAGCCCTGGAAATAGGATGTGCACGGGGATGGTGACCACTGAACCCAGAATGCCCCAGATCTGTGGCTGCAGGGCCAGGGGTGATGGGTGCTCCTACTGCTCCTCTTCGATCGAAGCTCTCTAACATCCTGGCGGCCAATGTTTCTAAGGGGAAACAAGGATTTCCCACTGTGGGGTGGTTAGTGTGGGGGCTCTGGTACCGGGACACCTGGGTGTGGAGTTGGGAGATTCCCTTAAAGTCTCTGAGACTAAGTTTCCCCAGCTGCAAAATGGAGATGGTGAGGGTCCCTCTCTCAGACTCACCGGGAGGCCTCTAAAATGCCCAGAACAATACCCTCCAACACACACACCCTCCCTGAACAAATTCATCCCCCTCAGCACGGGATCGGGGTCGCTGACCCTCTTCCTCAGCCCCGCACCTGGCGACCACACACGCCCTGCCCTCCCGGGGGCCGGGGAGCCTCTGAGGGCAGGACCGCCATGGGCTGCGGGGCCCGCGGGCAGGCAGCGCCGCCAGGCCCGCCTGTGCAGGAGGGCGTCTTCCCCGCGCTCCCGGGAAGGCACCCCCGTCGCACCCTCACACACGTCAGCCGCGCCCAGAGACAGAGGCGCAGGGGCGCACAGACAGCGGGAGGATCGGACAGGAGAGGCGCAGCCCCACACGCGCAGACACACTCACACCTGACACACAGACCGGCGCCAAGGAAGAGACGAGACGCAGGGGGACCCCTGGACGGCGCCCTCACGCTGAGACGCCGCGGACGGAAACAAAGGCAGACGCGCACACGGACGTGGACACAGAGGGACCCCGGAGAGGCCAAGACGGGCAGGAGACACACACGAGCAAAGGCGAGACAGAGGTTCTGCCGGAGATACGCGGTGACACACACGAAGTCACACAAACAGAGCCTCAGGCATCACCATCACCCGCAGGACCACACCCAGCTCCGCACCCTGTCTCCTCCCGCCTCTCCCAATTCCGCACAGGCTCCCCGCGAGGTTACCTCAGAAAAGTGATCGCTGTCCGCGAGGCTCTGGGATCGCACTGCGTCTGCGCGGATTGCCCTACTACACTTCCCAGAAACCCCCGCGCCCGTCCCGTCCTCTCCTGATTCCGCTCAGAGCGAGAGCGGCTGAGCCGAAGGGCCCCAGAGCGGTGGTCGCGAGACTCCCTGTCCCAGAAGGCCTCGCGGTACCCGGTGAAGAAGGCGGGGTTCTGGAGGGATCTGGGGCGTCAGGGCGGAGAAAACGCGGTGGATCAGGGGGCGGGACTGAACTGCCGGGCAGGGCTGGTACCCTCAAGAAGCGGGCTGTGCGTGAGTGTGCGAGGAGAGTGAAAGGTAAATTGTGGTACACGGGGGCAGGGTGCTGAGTGAGCTAGAGAGGAGGGACGGAGAAATTGCAGAAAAGGCGAAGCGTGAGAGGAGGCCGGAAAAGACATTGTAGCTGCACCCCAGACCTCTTGCTTAGTAGCCCGGGGTCCCCGTAGGCGTGCTAACTTGCAGAAAATTTGTAAAGCCTGCAGAGACCCAAGCGAGCAAATGATTCTACACAGAAAGGGAGTATCAGCTCTTCGCGTTAAGTGCCAGCTCCTGTTCAGGCCGTGTTATTGTTACAGACCCAAAGTGGGGGTACCGCTGCCCATGGCCCCCAGTAAGAAACCTCTATAGCAACAGCCTGGTGAGAAAGAGGCTTTTCATTCAAATTCTGCAGGTTTGGGAAGAGTAGCAGATGCTTGTCCCATAGTTTAGTCCTTCCGAGAAAACGAGGAAAACCTCCAGCCGTTCTCATCCAAACAAGAACAGAAAGCCGCGTGCCGACTTCCTGCTTGAAAGTACCATCTTTTGGCTGCTGGTACCGTCAGCAGTCAACCAGGCAGCTCAGCTTGCTACTGGCTGCTGTCCACTTTCAGGCTACCTCCTGGAACCTACAGGCCCGGTTAGCCAGGTCGCTTCCCGAGCCACAAGGTCCGGGGAACTAACGGGGTAGTATCTTCGCCAGTCGGGCAAGAAACTGACCCTTTCTTACCCTGCGTTTATAACAGTTTCAGGTGTGGGACGGTCTGCGCAGAAGACCTCCCAAATTCCCTTGTGCTGGGGAGGGAGCGGTCTACCCACGACCAATCGCTTCTTCTCCCCAGGCTAGACTGACAGGCTAGTCCAGCACCTCCGCCCGGCGGCACATTTGTGGTGCACGTGCCCATCTGGCCCCGGTCTTATCTCCCCCCCCCTCCCCCCCGCCAACCATCAGGTATCAGTAGTGGGTAGGAGGGCTTTCCCCCATCTGCTCACCTTGCTAGCATTGCGTCTTCTCAGTGCAGTACTTCCTCCTGCAGCCATCTTGCTTGGGGTAGATTATCTTCCAGGATAGGATGCGGCACATTCAAGGCAGGAGCTCCATTACCAGGCAAACGCCTCTCTGCCTCACCATTGCCCAGGGCAGATGGCATCCCCTCAGGTGGCCCCTCCTGTTCCTGCCCTTGCCTTCTCCCAGCGGTCTTCCCTAACTATCTGTATTATTAAGATGCACAAACACATTTAGTCCTGGAAACCAAGCTATTTTGCAGAAGAGATGTGATACAAAAAGGGAGGACACAGGAGAGGAAACTTTGATATTTGGAGTGGGAAAGAGGTCTCCAGGTGGGGACTCTTACACCATAAACTACAAAGCGAGTGCAAAGGCATTTGCTGGAAGTCCAATGACCATAAAACTGCCAACTGCAGCCACCTCTCACGCCCCTACTGGGGGCCTGGTCTGCAACCCAGGCATGCTCAGTGACTGGGAATCAAACTGGCGACCATCTGGTTCGCAGGCCGGCACTGAATCCCCTGAGCCACACCAGCAAAGGTTGACTGTTTTACTTAAAGGTTACATGAATAAAGCGTGATGCCTGTAAATGTAAAATATTGCAATGACTTGATGTCATTACAATGTCCAATGACTTGGACAACTCATTACACTGAAAAGAAATGGAGTGAGCTAATCAAGTCCACTTGTTGGCTGGGTACAGCCAATGGCCTGCCCACTTGAGTCATCCACGATCATGGAATCGCTGTTGGATGACTGCCAGGAGACCACACCATGCACCAGGGATCTGTTTTCCCTCCTCTGGGCCATCAGCGGTGGCCCACAAAACAGGACTGTGTGGCACCAAGTGAAGACTCCTGTAAGAAGGATCACCCCACAAGGAGAATATACTCCGCTTTTTTAAATTTTTATTTATTTGAGAGAGAGAGAAAGAAGAGACATAGATTTTTTTTTTCTTGTCCCACTCATTGATGGATTCATTGGTTTTTTCTTATATGCACTCTGAGCAGGGATCGATCCCACAATCTTAGCATATCCGGGCAATGCTTCACCAGATGAGCTGTCAGCAGGACCCCAGTTATAGGCCAGGTGGGTAAGTACTCTCTGCTCTGTCTAATCCACTGGAGAACTTCAGTAAATTAGCAGCTGTACAGAAGTGGGACACAGTCTTAAGTATTAATCACCGTCAGCTCGCACCCTTCGGGTGATGCACGGGAGGGTGCAAGGTCACGGCCTGGGGCGGGGGCTTCAGCGGCCTCAGTCAGCAGCTATTTACTGACGTTCACGGAAGCATCTCAAAGAATTAACAGTATGTACAAAATAGTAATCAATTCCCCATTTGTTAATAAATGCTTTATGTATTATTTTGTTAATAGAGCACCATTCCTATATCATTTGCTATTTATCTTTGGTAATAGATTGCTATCAACATCAATACTGAAGTATTAAGGGAAACATGACCTAGGCTGAGGGTGAGACATAGATTAGGTAATGCCCCCGCCTGACGGAAGGCACTTTTTTCCCACAAGGATTCCGGCTGCACGGGGTGTATTGGGGATAGTTTGTGATGTGAGAGAGGACTTTTCTCCTGTAACTGAAACAGGCCTGCGGGGAGGGAGCCAAAAGCCCGGTTTCAACAAAAGGTTTGAGCGGAAGAGGCACTTTCCATTCCTGCTGCTGAAGGTCTGGGCCCTGCCACCTGGTCTGAGTGTTCCCAAGCCACAAATGCAGGGCTGGGAGGGGCTGGTGGCCTCATACCTTGGGCAGGCCTGCTGTGTTCCTGGGGTTCCTCTGGGGTATTTGGACCCCCTCTTCCCCGCAAGCATTCACACTCATTTTGACAGGACAACCTGTACCTGTAGCTTCTGAAATGACACCGGTCTTCTTTAATGTAAACTTTATTATTAAAAAAATTAACAGACCCCTATGAGAAACTATGGCATCTGATGCAATTACTGTACTTCCAAATGCTGAGAAAAATTTTCTTCCCCTCATAAACCACCTGGCACCTTCTACTGCTGCAGGAGAAGCTGGGAGCCGGGTGTGGAGTAAATGAGGACACCCACAGATGTGACGACCTGACTTCTGGACTAGATCCAGGCACATGTGACAAAGTGACAGTGCCATGGAGCTCACCTTCCCCTCTTCCTTTCTCCCTTCTCTCCTCCACTTTACTATCCAGGAGATGGAGACCAGAGTCACTAAGTGTGTTGCCCAAGCTCCTATAACAATTTCTTCCATTTGGGTCTGGAGCCACAGAAGCCTTGGCCACACTTCCAGATACTAGACCTGTAGCGGGGCTTGCTTTCCACGCAGCACAGCCAATGCTAGGAAAGTTGCTCCTGTTCTGGTGTGGCCTGTCCCCAGTGCCCACATTCCTACAACACACCTTGGCAGCACTTCTCCTGAGTCCTACCTGTGAGCTCCAATGTCCTTTCTCACACTGGCGCGTGGGCTCAAGACGCGCCTACCGGGGGGTGGATTCTGAGTTCCAGACTCCCATTCTGTGGTACAGGTACATCCTCCTCTGGTTTTGGGTGAGGATGAAGTTCCTGACGAAGTTTTGACCAGTTGCCACTCTCGTAGGGCTTCTCTCCCACTTAGGTCTCCACTGGAGGGTGAGCGAGAAGTCCCTGACAAAGACATTGCGGCACTGGCTTCACCTCTATGGCTACTCACCAGTGTGGCTGGTCAGGTGCATGTGCAGGGACAAGCGCTCTGGAAGATAAGCACTTGTTGGCCTTCTCCTCAATGTGTACATGCGCTGGTGGATGGTGAGGCATGACTGCTGGGTGAACTGTTTACCGCACGCGGCACGCAGGAATGGCTTCTCCCCATATGGGTTACTTGGTGCTTCTTCAGGCACCAGTGATAGCCATGATCCTGCTGCACTCCATGCAGTGGAAGGCCTTTTTCCCTGTGGGAAGTTTAGAGGGTGGACAAGTGTTGAAGTACCTGAATTCTTCTCATACCTGGTGAATAGGTGTCTACTCACTGTACACTGTCGTTCCCATCTGCATAGGGCAAGCAAGTGGCTTTGCTGTTCGAATGCCTTAAATTCATGATATTCAGGGTCTAACACTTAGGACGTATACAATCTCCTGCTATAGGTCCTTGGATCCACTGTTGCCGACCCATTTGCCAACCATGTCCCTACCTCTTCAAGGTACAACTCCGGGGCCCATTCCTCCCAGGTCCTTCCACCGGCACTACAATGGATGGTCTGTCTTCGCAAAGGTCCTCCAGTGGGTCCGTTTCTTCAATGTCAGGTCTAGCCCCCCAAGTCTGGGGTGGAGAGGAAAAGAGATGACAATACGTGCAGTTAACAACACGGGGAGGAGGGACCTCCCCAAGACACCACAAGGCACAGCCTGAGAGAAGGGCACAGCTCTCTTCTTACTACCTGGGAACATGCCCCAATGTCCCCTTCTGAGAGAGGCCCCCCTGACTGCCAGAGCTCAGACAGCCCCGCCCCTCGCTTTCTATTCATCACCTGTGATCTCGCTCAGACATGAGCGGCAGGGACTCTGTGAGACAAGGAGCTGTGGTTCGCTCACTGTGGGACTCCAGTGCCTAGACCATTCCAGGCACAGAAGAGGCACTTAGATACTTAGACAAGCGACTCACAGTTCACCTGTAGCCTTTTGTCTCTTGAGATTCCTGCTTATCAGAGGATGCAGAAATCCTAGGTCTTCGTGTATTAGGCATCTACTTTCTTATATCTTCAAACAACCTCTTCCCCCACCAGTAAGCTGGAAAGAAAATAAGGTACTTCTGGACCTAACTCCCCCTCTACCATCATCACACACTGTTGTCACTGTCACGTGAACATCCCTGTGCCATATCAAATTCAGCAGTGAAAAAATTCCAACTTCCAACTTGCATCTCCTCCTCTGCCACTTCTTGCCACCTCTCAGCCCCTCTGGAAAGCAAGTGATCACCTGTAAGGACACATTACCTTCTATGTAGCTTTTTAAACAAACTTGGGCCAAAGGAAAGTGCCGCCAATGAAATTTCATGTCATGGGGAGTTTATTGGGTAAATGAGCATCCATGATAAAGATGAGAAATCTTTCAAACCTCCTAATGCTGCTGATGGCTATATTAGCATCAGGTGGGGAGATGGACAGATGTAATTTCCTGATAATATTTCTCTCTGGTCATGGGAGACTAGCAAACCCCAGGGAAATCTCTTCTGATAACAGGTATGAGACATGCTTCTATTTAAACCTCCTGTCCATCTTAGGAAGTGATGATAAAATTACAATGATGGCACATAATTAAAGAGGAAGGAACTTAACAATGCCCAGATTAGCCCTGGCTGTTGTGGCTCAGCGTATAGACTGCAGATCTGTGAACCAAATGGTTGCTGGTTCGATTCCCCAGTCAAGGCACATGCCTGCGTTGTGGGCCAGGCCCCCAATAAGGGGTGCATGAGAGGCAACCACACATTCATGTTTCTCTTCCCCTCTCCCTTACTCTCTAAAAATAACTAAATAAAGTATTTGAAAAAAATACAAAAATACGCATGCCCATTTTGTAGCCACTCTTATCAAGACAGCCATGTCCCATTAATCCCACTAGCCCTTTCAGGACCACTACCAGAGACACTAAATATTTCATATGTCGTGAGACGTGCCACTGGGCCAAGTTATGTCCAAAACCTGACAAGCCCCCACAGGCACTATTGGCATCAGTGCAAGGAGGCACCGTATCCCTCAGGCCCAAGGGCCCTCGGCTGTCACAGCCTTATAAATAGGATTGAAGCTGCCCCCCCACCCAAAGTTGGACACACCTGAAGAGGTCACCATTAGTGAACTGAAGCCTCAGGTATACATGCATGTGGCAGGAAAGACAGTAATTTTGTTACTGAGTACTAGGTCCACCTACTCTATCCTTCCTTTCTTCTCTGGACCCCTCCCCTCACAATCCTGCGCCATCCCAGGAGTAGCAGTAAAGCCTACAACCAGGACTTCCTTTTTATTTTTTAAGATATTGGACACATTTATTGAAATGATGTTAATTGAGAAGGGCAGAAGCCATCGTATTGTGATCACTGAATCTACAGTTGTGCAAACATGTCTGTACATTAGAAAAGATTAGACAAGAGCAGAAGTGTTGTGAATATTCACATTTGGTAAATTGAGTTTTTTTAAAAAACTGATTACCAAAATGTGTAAATATAACTTCTAAGAAATTGAGGTTTTCTTTAACTTGTCTCCTTTTTCGCTATTTTTATAGACCACCCCCAGCCATTGCCCATGGAGATTACTTTAGCACCAACAGAGAGTGTTTTCCATACGGGAAAGGTGGTGACCTATCGCTGCAGTCCTGGAACAAGAAGGGAAGTCTGTTCTCATGGGTGAGAAGTTAATATACTGCACCAGCAATGATCATTTTGGCACCTGAAGCGGCCCTCTGCCTCAGTGCCTTATACATAATACATGCACACCTTCAGATATCAAAAATGGAGTAAGATAGTGTGAGAACAGAAGCTTCTTCCCCTTAAATGAAGTCATGAGGTTTAGTTGTCAGCCTGGCTTTGTCATGAAAGGACCCTCCAGTGTGCGATGCCAGGCCCAAAACAGATGGGAGCCGGAGTTGTCCAGCTGCTTCCAGGGTGAGTCCGACTGAGGCTTTGACGGGGCCTGCAGAGGACCCGAGCTGTAGGGGGTCCAGGAAAGTGGTGCTTGTTCTGGTGGAAAGATGCTTGGTGAACAGTGTGAATCAAGTTTCTTAGGATGAAGCCCTGATCTCTGGCGAAGGCGGGCGCAGAGTGGTCTAGACACACTTGAGGAAAGACTGGAGACGGATGCTTTGGGGAGAGAACTGAGAGAGCAGTGGTGGCGGTGGGGCGGGGGGGGGGGGGGGGGGATGCCGGTGCTGATTCATCCTCCGGCAGCAGCAGCCATCCCGCTCAGGCAGAGACCACGCCCCTTCCCCTTTCCTTTTAAATAGGCAGATACACACAGACAGAAGCCACTGCTTAACTGGGCTGACCTCCCTCAGGGATTTAGGGACAGCCCTCCCTTACTGAGGCATCAGCAGAGGACTTAGGGGACCTGTCACTTGAGGGGGGTAGCTGAGAAATCCAATATGTGATTGATTTACTTATCTATTACCTCACAGAGAACCTGGGCTGTAAACATATAATACAGACCCTAGATTGCCTTACACCATTAATCTAAGACAAACAGAAAAGGCACTATGGAAATATAGAAACAAACTTAAAGCTACCAACACTCACAAGTCAAACCAGGGGACATAGTCTATTTGAAAAACCTAGAACAACTATTCTGTCTCAACTCCAACCCAGATGAAAGGGTCCACACAGGTCCTACTAAACACCCCAACTACAGTAAAGCTCACAGGGACAGCCACTTAGGTCCACCGACCTCAAATTAACCCTATGTCTTAGAAGTCCCCACAGGCTCCACAGCCTGATATGCTTATGAACCCATCAGAGACCTCAAATTGCTCTTCAAGAGACTAAAACCTCTTAAATAAGGCAACACCTAGGCCTTAGTAGAATTGTCTTTCTCATGTTTTTAACACTCTACCAGTCTGTCAACGTGCTCAGCCTCCTCTCCTTGAAAGGAATTTTTCTATCCCTATTGGATTTAAAGCTTATCATAGACTCCCAGGTCCTCCACGCTACTCAACTTTTGCCAACTTTATCGCTTCCAGGACACAACAATTACTGTCAACCCCTGGAACCCCCGACTCCAGACATCTATCATGGACCAGAGGACAGGCACTTCCCTCCACTCCTCTGGTTAAGAGTTAGCAAGAGGATGGAACCCAAGGAAGTATCAGTTTCCCTTTATAGCACAAAGTACCCACAGAGGTCAGTGGTCCAAAGTCCCCAAATTTTTGTGTTCTGAATGCTTGAGGGGGAATGTTAGGTAGGGCAGTTAGTCAGTTAAGACAGGGGGGAGGAGGAGCTATATCACCTCGTCATCTGAGGAGAGTCCTTAAAGTTCTGTGTGCTGGGAAAGGAAGCCTCCGTAACTAATCGGGACAGAAGGAGGGTTACCCAGAAGCACTACCCACTACCCTCCATGAGGAGGGTCCCAGTCCAAGGTCAGGTGGGTAAGTACAGTGCGCTCTGTCTGTTCCACCAGAGCACTTCAGTAAATTAGCAACTGTACAGAAGTGGGAGCCAGTCTAAATATCAGTCGCTATCAGCTTGTACCCTTCTGTGACTTGGAGGAGGGGGCAAGGTCCCAGGGCTCGGGTTGGGGTTTCGGGGGCCTCAGTCAGCAGCCATTTGACGATGTTCACAGGAGCATCTCAATGAAGTAACAACCTGTACAACAGTAGTAGTATTTTTCTACGACTATGTATATATATTTAAAAAGTCACATGTAAAAGTATATAGATGTACTTTTTAAAATCACAAAAATACTGCCTTATAAGGACGAGTAGGTGGTTCCCTGCCTTTGGACACCTACGAACTGGAGGCCAAGAAACATGGACTTGGAGAAAACTGAGGCCAGTTTGCTCCCTGCAGGCTCAAGAGCAACCATTGTACACAGAATGAAAAATAACAAAGCGTGAAAGGATTTAACTTAATTTAAAAATATAAATAAATAAATAATGGACCCTGGCTGATGTGGCTCAGTGGATTGTGTGCCAACCTGCAAACCAAAGGGTTGCTGGTTCAATTCCCAACTGGGGCATATGCCTGGGTTGCAGACCAGGTCCCCAGTCATGTGCGCAAGAGGCAACCACACAATGATGTTCCTCTCCCTCTCTTTCTCCCTCCTTTACCCTCTCTCTAAAAATAAATAAAATCCTCAAAAAAAATAAATGGGCATAAAGTCTCACTATGCAACACGAATTAGTCCCAGAGATCCCCTGCTGAACATTATCCTCTAATTAATGATACCTCGTTGTACACTTAAAATTTTGCTAAGAGGGTAGATCTCAGGCTCTGTTTGGGTGGTAGGTGCATTGGAGCATCGTTCTGTACACCAGGTTTCAGGTTGCTACAGAACAAGCTGGGATTCTGCTGGCTGCCACTGCCCTCTAGGAAAAATTCCAGAGGCAAAGGTTTGGTAAGAAAGGACTCTTTACTTGAAATCTTCTCAAGAATAGTCACTTAGGCCTATCAAGTCACAGCTTTAATCACTTAACCCCATCAATTAAAGACTAACCTTTAACACCTGAGTTCTATCTTTTCCCCTGTTAATTTCTATAGGATAAGTTTACAAGCTAAGACAAAATAATACACAAAAGCCACACAATTCCGGAAGAGTGGCAGGCTTCTGCCCCAGAGCTTGTTCCCTCCAGAATACACAAAGAATAGCGCTGCCACCCTCTGCCAGGCCAGCCTGATCCTAGGCTGTTCCTGGAGTTCCTTCCCATAGAAAATACTCTGTTGGGAAATGCAGGCAGCAGCAAGGCGCTTATCCCAGCATCCTTGAGGAAAAAGTGCCTGAGCCTCAGCCTGAATTGAAGAGAGAACCTGTTCAAGAGCCAGAGAGCTCCCTTTTTATTGCCATAAGCTCTGGAGGCATTCAGCTTCTCAGTCAATCCCATCCTAGACTGCTTAGTTTCCTGGGCAGACTTAAATATGGCCCCTCCCTACTTCTCTCCAGTGATCTGATCAGATCTCTCCTATCAAGATTCCATCCCTGGTTGGGGTGCGTACAGGAGGCAACTGATTATGGTTTCTCACATGGACCTCTCTCTGCCTATCTCTAAAATCAAGAAATATGCTCAGATGAGGATTTTTTTTTAAGGGGGTAGTAGATCTCAAGTGCTTTTGCACACAAATAAAGTGCCACCTTAAAGGCAAAACAATATTTGTAAGCTTTCTACTTGTCAGTGTCCTGCCGCTCTTATTTTTATGCTATGTAATAAACTTCGCTGAAGTTGTATTACTTCAAAAAAAAAATTAAAAAAACAAAGGAGAGTGCACAGCACAGACTGTTGTCAATTGTTTCTTTTCATTTAATGCTGTATCTCAGAGCACCTTCAACAACGGTATCTGTAGTTCTTTGGCACTATTTCTACCCAAATCAAATATATTTAGCCAACCTTCTAAAGACGAATCCTTTGGTGCCGCCAGTTTCCTCGCTTCTAAACACGGCTCTCCTGAGCCATGGTTGAGAGGACACTGTCCTGGTCCCTGATATCTATACAGCTGTCTTCTCTTTGCTCACTGGGGCTGTGCCCTAAAGGCCCTTTCTGAAAGAGGTCCTCCCTGCCAGAGCTGAGGCAGCCTTCCTTTCACTTTCTACTGCATCACCTCTGATTCTGCTCAGACAGGAGCAGTGCAGACTCAGTGAGACAAGGGGTTATGGTTCCCTCACTCCTGGACTCCCAGTGCTTGGAACAGAGTCTAGCACAGAGAAAGCGCCCAGACACTTGTTGAGTGACTTGTTATTCAACTGAAGCCTCTCATCTCTTGAGATTCATGATTATCAGAGAATGCAGAAATTCTAGATCTTGATGTGTTAGGCATTTGCTCTTTCTCTTTTTTAAAAAGATAACAAGTGTTTTGTTTTTAAGATTTTATTTTAGAGAGAGGAAAGGGAGTGACAGAGAGAGGAACATCAATGTGCAAGAGACATAGTGATCACTTGCTTTACCTACACCTCCAACTGGGGATGTGGCCAGCAAACCAGGCATGTGCCCTGACTGGGAATCTAACTGGGAACCTTTAGGTAAACAGGCCTGCACTCAATCCACTGAGCCACAATAATCAGAGCATCGTCCACTTTCTTATTTCTTTAAACAGCCCCCCTCTCCCACTAAGCGGAAAAGAAAACTCAGGCTCCCTCTTGATTCAATTCCTTCTGCCCCCAAACACACTGACTTGTCACATGGACCTCCTGGTGCCAAGTGGAATTCAGCAGTGAACAAAGTCCGGCTTCACTGTTTTCTCTCCTTCCCCTCACTTCTTGTCTGGCCACAGTCCCTCTGGAAAGCACATGATCATGTGTGAAGCTATTCCCCTCTAGGCAGTCTTTTAAGAAACTTTGGGCAAAGGAAACTACCCCTATGAAATTTCATCGCATGGGGGAATGTTTATGGGGTAAATGAACATCCAGGATTGCAGACATGAGAAATCACTGAACCTCCTGATGCTGCTGGTTGGATTATGTGTGTGGTGGGGGAAATGGACAGATGTAATTTTCTACGAATATTTCTCCATCATCATAGGAGACCACTAAACCTAAGGGAACCTTTTCTCATAATGGGCATGAGACATGGCTCAACCATTCCCAAGCCAGGAATCCAGGGCTGCGAAGGGCACGTGGCCTGCAACGACTTGCTGGGTTCTTGTGGGATATTTGTGCTCCCTCCCCCAAATCACTGATGTTAATTTGGAGGGGACAACTAGTACCTCCCTCTTTTTACCTGACAACTGTTTAAAATGATGTTGGTGACCCTGGATGTGGCTCTGGATCACAAGCCATCCTATGAACTGAAAAGTGACTGGTTCAATTCCCACACAGGGCACATGCCTAGATTGTGGGCTTTCTCTCACACTGATGTTTCTCTCCCACTCTTTCTCCTTCCCTTCCCTTCTCTCTGTAAATAGTTTTAGGAAAAAAATGTTGATGTCACTTTATTAAAAGTTTTATTTAAAAAATAATTTAAAAGAGCACTATGAGAAACTTTGGTATCTGAAGAGAGGACAGTTACTTCCTAATCCTGAAAAAAATATTTTCTCTCCTCATGAACCACCTGGTAACTTCTACAGCTTATGAGCATCGGGCCTTCCAGCTGGTGTTGCAGGGAAACTAGGGGCTGTGTGTGGGGAAAACGAGAAAGCACACAGATGGAGACAATCTGATCACTGGACTAGATCCAGGCATGTGGGACAAACTGACAGTGTCCCCATGGATCTCACCTCCCCTTCTTCTTTCCTTCTCCCACTTCTCCACTTTACTATTGAAGAGATGGAAACCCAGAGACACTAAATGACTTGTCCAATCTCACAATTTATTCCAGCTCAGTCTGAAGCCACAGTGCTCCTGGCCATGCTCCCAGATACTAGACCAGTAGGAGGATTTGCTTTCCACATGACCCTGTGGATGCTCTGGAAGCAGCTGGTGAGCATGGTGTGGCCTGTTCCCCGTGCCCACAGCCCTCAGACCTGTCTGGGCAGGACTTCTCTTACATCTCCCCGTGGGCTCCAGTGTCAAGTCTGGCACTGGGCCGTGGGCTCAGGACCTGCTTGCCGGGCATGGGATTCTGCGATCCCCTTCACATCTGCTACGTATGCGTCCTCATTAGGTGTCACGTGAGGTTGAACTGCCTGCTAAAGTTTTCCCTGCACTTGCCACACTTGGAGGACTTGTCTCTTAAGCGGATTCTCCAGTGGATAGGGACAAGACATTCTTGATGAAGGCTTTGCCACACTGGCTGCACTTATAAAGCTTCTCCATGGGGAGGCTGCTCAGGTGATTCTGTAGGGGTAAGCGGGTCATGAGTCCTTCTGGCACATGGAGCCCTGGAGTGCTACTCCCCATGGGCACGTGCCGGTGTTTCCTGAACAAGGAGTTTTTGCTGCACTGGCCTCATACATTCACCTTCTCCACAATATGCATACGTTGATGCTCGACGAGACTACGGTTTTGACTGAAAGCCCTGCCACAGTCCCCAGAGGCATGCTGCTTCTCCCCGCTGTGCATTGACTGATGCACAATGAGGCTAGACTTATTGCTCAAGGCCTTTCCACAGGCATAAGGCTTCTCCCTCATGTGCGTCCTCTGATGCACGAGGAGGATCCTGTTTAGGCTGAAGGCCTTGCCGCAGTCCCCACACACATATGGCTTCTCTCCAGTGTGTGTCCTCTGATGCACTATGAGGCTCGATTTCTGGCTGAAGGCCTTGCTGCAGCTTCCGCACGAGTACGGCTTTTCTCCGGTGTGCGTCCTCTCATGCAGGACAAGGTTCCCTTTCTTGCTAAAGGCCTTACCGCAGCCAATACATATGTATGGCTTCTCCCCAGTGTGTGTCCTCTGATGCACAATGAGGATCTTGTTCAGGATGAAAGACTTGCCACAGTCCGCACACACATAAGGCTTCTCTCCAGTGTGCGTCCTCTGATGCACTATAAGGCTCGACTTCTGAGTGAAGGCCTTCTCGCAGTCAGTACATACGTACGGCTTCTCTCCGGTGTGTGTCCTCTGATGCCCGATAAGGCTTCTGTTCTGGGTGAAGGCCTTGCCGCAATCCCCACACACATATGGCTTTTCCCCGGTGTGCGTCCTCTGATGCTCAATGAGGCTCCTATTCTGGTTGAAGGTCTTGCTGCAGTCCCTGCACTTGTACGGCTTCTCTCCTGTGTGCATCCTCTTATGCTCAATGAGGCGCCTATTCTCTCTGAAGGCCTTACTGCAGTCCCCACACTTGTACGGCTTCTCCCCAGTGTGTGTCCTGTGATGCTCAATGAGGCGCTTTTTCTCTCTGAATGACTTGCCACACTCACCACATACATATGGCTTCTCCCCGGTGTGCATCCTCTGGTGTAAGATGATGTTACCCTTCTGGGTGAAGGATTTGCCACACTGTCCGCACACATATGGCTTCTCCCCGGTGTGAATTTGTTGGTGCTTCCACAGGGACGACTTATAGCTGCAAACCTTGCCACACTGTCCGCAACTGTATGCCTTCTTCTCTGTACAAAGCTGGGAGGGAGGACCAAGGCTTGAAGTACCTGAGTTCTCCCCACACATGGTGAAGGGGTGCGTCCCCAGTCCTCTTGGTCCTTCTAGTGTTTCTGGGGCTGGCATGGGGCTTTGGTGGACAGATGACTTAAATTCACAACATTCAGGGGCTAACACTTGGGACATGTAGAAATGCCCCAGACAGGTCCCCATACTCTTCTGTTGCTGCCCCACCCTGTCACCTTGTACCCCCACTTTTTCACAGGCGTAACCCTGGGCACAATTTTTCATGAGTCCTTTCACCGCCACCGCAGTGGATGGTCTGTCTTTCCAAGAGTCCTTCTCTGGGTCCAGTTCATTCATGTCCTGTTTAGTCTCCAAGTCTGAGGGAGGGGGAACAAGATGACGACACACATGTAGTTAAAGACACTGGGAGGGAGGATTTCCCCAAGATACAAAAAGATACAACCTGAGAGCAGGGGACACACTGTCGTGGGGACACAGGCAAAAGGGAAGCCATGATCTGAGACACAGTTGTAGGAAGGTGAGCACAGAGCAAGAAAGGCCTGATTGAGGGTGGGGGCAAAGGCAGCCAGCAGAGCTCAGAGCTGGGAGGGAAGACCGTGAAGAGAAAGAGGAAGAAAGCAGGCTTGGAGGAGCAGGTAACAGGATCCCACACACCCAGTGACACCTAAGTGCACCTAGGCACCGGACACCTAGCTTCGAAGCCTCGTCTTGTACGTCCCCAGCCAAGTTGTGCTTCTGAAAGTATTGACTGTTATTACTAACAATAAAATAAGAATTGATTGTCACACGGCTATGCTGGTTGTCCTCTGTCTGCCAGTGAAGCTCCCACATTCCTGCGCTGCCCAGGAGTGGCCTGGCCCTTGGGCTGGATCCTCACACCTCCCCTTAGCACACTAGTCCCTCCCTGCTGACCACACCCACTCCAAGTCCCTTGTGCCTTGTCCCATGGGTTCCTCAATCTCTGTTTCCAGCCTAGTGGGCTGCCTGGAGTTCTAGACTCTGCACGTGAACTTTAAGGTTCATCCAAACATGTAAAACTGTGACATCTTACATAAATATCTCATTTAAAAAGGGAAGGTCATTCCACATGTAGCCATCCTCCTTGGAGGGAACAAAGAAAGCAGAATGGTAAGCAGCTGTCTCCCTAACCCCATTAAAGCCCTCAATGGCCACACGACCTGAGTATGAGACACTTCCCCTGAGTCTATAACTGGATACAATCCTTATGTTCATTTATGTGAAAGGATAATCACATGGTGGTCTATCCTGGAAGCAGAATATTACTCAGCAATAAAAGTCAGCTGTTGCTCTGGATGCCTAGCTTAGCTTGTTGGAGCATCGTGGTGTGTACTAAAGATTACAGGTTCAATCCAAGTTCAGGGCTTGAACGGGAGGAACAGATCAATGTTTCTCATATAGTCTCCTTCTCTCTCTCAAATCAATAAACAAACAAAGAAAGGAAAAGAATGAAGAGAACAATTTACACATATGGGTGACAAGAGTGAACCAGAAAGAAATGACACGAAGTGTAAGAAATCAGATAAAAAATAAAGAATACATACCAACTGATTTTAGATATATAAAATTCTAGAACAGGCAAACTAAACCACAGTGGTCGCTGAAGGATTGGGGCTGGGGGAAGTGAAAGAAAAGCTTTTTGGGCTAATGGAGGTCTGCATTTTGACAGTGGCTTCCCCAGTGGATACAAACGTCAAAATGTATCAAACTGTTCATATTAACTGTGTGTACTCAATTGCAGGTCAGTTAAATCTCCAGAAAAGCTGTTAAAGAAATGAGACTGTACACTAATTCTGAAAGTTAGTGTTTTTCCTGAAGAATTATTATCCAGGGACATCTTTCTGTGTCAGCAACTACAAAGATTGCTCATCTTTGAAGAGGTTTGTGATTTGAATCATTTTTCTACATCCTGATTTATTCAGCCAGTCTCATAGGTGGACATCTAGGGCATTTCTCTTGATTTTAATTCCTATGAAAAATCTGGGGAATTTCAGTGAAGATGGCGGCGTTGGAAAACTGCGTCACCTCCTAGCAGAAAAGGTTCCAGCTACATCACAAAATATATCACACAGAACTATCAGAAAATGGAGCTGTATTGAAGTCCAAAAACCATGGACTTAAAAGAAGCCACATTCATCCAGAAGGGTAGGAGGGGCAGTGTCGCAGAGATGGATGGAGAAGAACATGATGGGGTGTAGCATAGGAAGCTGGTGGAAAGAGTGGTCCCACATACCCATGAGGGGGATAAAAATTGGGAGGGATACCTCATGAGCGAAGAATCCCAGCCCCAGGTGTGACGACATAGGCAACCCACTGTTCCAGGCCAGGAAGATAAATTCTTGTAATGTCTGGCTGTAGAAACCAGTAGGGGTTCTGGATGCAGGAGATACTGCTGGATTTTCAGGAGACTCCTCTTAAAGGCTCCCCACAGACTTAGGACTTACCCAAACCCACCTACTCTGGGATTCAGCACCAGGGCAACAGCTAGAAGGATATCTCTGGAATACAGGGAGAAAGTGAACTGTCTGGAAACAGCATGAGAACCCGGAGACAGCTTCCTCCCTGGCAAACTGCCAGAAGCCAGGTGGCAGCACTGTCCCCTCTCTGAGCTCTTCTGCCACACAGGGCCAAAAAGTGGTAAAGTGGTTGCCCTACACTGTGGATTACCTAAGGCTCTGTCCCAAACAGTTTACATGTGCCTTTTGTACAACAGGACATATAAGACAGTAGTCAAAGTAGCTCTTCCTAATACACAGAAACAAACACAGGGAGGCTGCCAAATTGAGGAGACAAAGAAATATGGCCCAAACAAAAGAACAGAACAAAATCCCAGAAAAATAACTAAAAAAAATGGAGATAACCAACCTATCACGTGCAGAGATCAGAAACTGGTTATCAGGATGCACACACACACAAAAAAAAAACCCAGGAAGAAATGAAAGATACATTAAGTGAAATAAACAAAAATCTAGAGGGAACGAACAGTGGAGGGGGTGAAGCTGAGATTCAAATCAATGATTTGGAACATAAGGAAGTAATAAACATTTAAATAGAACTTCAAGAAGAAAAAAAGAATTCAAAAATACAAGGATAGTATAAAGAGCACCCAGGATATATCCAAACATGTCAACATATGAATCATAGGGATGCAAAAAGGGAAGAGGAAGAACAAGAAATTGAAAATTTATTTGAAAAAATAATGCAAGAAAACTCCCCTAATATGGTGAAAGAAATAGAGATACAAGTCCAGTAATCACAGAGAAGCCCAAACAACTTGGCCCCAAAGAGGGCACATTAACACACATCATAATTAAAATGGTAAAGGTTAAAGATAAAGAGAGAATCTTAAAAGCAGCAAGAGAAAAGGAGCAAGTTACCTACAAAGGAGTGCCCAAAAGATGGTCAGCTGATTTCTCAAAAGAAAGTTTACAAGAAAAAAGGGATGGCAAGAAGGACTCAGAGTGATGAAACGTAAGGTTCTACAACCTCATTTACTCTAGCCAGCAAAGCTATAATTTAGAGTGAAAGTGCAGATAAAGTGCTTCCCAGGCAAGGTAAAGCTAAAGCAGTTCATCACCACCAAACCATTATTACATGAAATGTGAAAAGGACTTATTTAAGAAGATCAAAACTGTGAACATTAATACGAAACAAATTCACCGCTATCAACAAGTGAGTCTAAAAACCAAACTAAGCCAACAACCAGGAGAGGACAGAATGGTAAATAGGGAGATCATTTGGAGGGTTATCAGCTGGGAAGGGGAAGGGAGGAATATGGGGGAAAAGGTGCAGGGATTAAGCAACATAAATTGGAAGGTACAGAATAGACAGGAGAATGTTAACAAAATTAGGGGAAATGGAGAAGCTAAAGAACTTACAAGCATGACCCATGGACATGAACCAGGAGGGAGGGGTAATGCTGTAGGGAGGGGGGCTACAAGGTAGAGGGCAAAGGGGAAAAATTGGAACAACTATAATAGTATAATCATGAAAATGTATTTTTAAAAAATGTACACTTGAAACTTACATGATCCTATTAGCCAATGTCACCACAATAAATTTAATTTTACAGTGATGTTACCCTCTTTTTACATCATTCACAATAATTAACTCAAAATGAACCAAAGACCTAAAAAAGAGAAATAAAATTCTAAAAGCTGTAGACAAAACAGGAGTAAGGCTTTGTGGCCTTTGGTTAGGCCAACAGTCCTTCAGATATGATACCAAAAGCACAGGAACAGCAAAATAAATATTTAGACCCATGAACATTGAAAACAAATGTGTCCCAAATTATGCCATTGAGGAAGAGAAAAGACTACCCACAAAATGGAAGAAATAAGGGCAAGCACATATCTGATAAAGGTCTTAGAGCAAAAATTAACAACAAAAAAATATGTAAAGAAATATTGAAATTGAATGATAAAGAAGCAAGCAATCCAACGGAAAATACAGGCAAGCCCTGACTGATATAGCTCAGTGGATTGAGCATCGGCCTCTGAACTGAATGGTCGCCAGTTCAATTCCCAGTAAGGGCACATGCCTGGGTTGTGGGCCAAGTCCACAGATGGGGGCGTGCAAGAGGCAACCATTCAGTGTTTCTCTCACACATCAATGGTCTCTCCCTTTCTTTCTCCCTCCCTTATGCCCTCTCTAAAAATAAATAAATAAAATCTTTAAAAAAAACCAGAAAACTTGAACCACACACTTCAACTAAGAGAATATATCAATGACAAATAAGAACCTGGAAAGGTCCTCAGAATCAGCTGCAAACAGGGTTGTGGTAAGACTGCACACCAATGACAATGGCTGCAATGAGAAAGGCAGCATGTTCAGTTCTGACAAGCACAAGGACCAATGCAATACCCAGCGCCTGCTGGTGGAAATGAAGAATGAGGCAACTGCTTTGGAGAAAAGTTGGGCAGTTTCTGAAAAAGTTAAATATACACCTACGTATGACTCAACCATTCTCAACAGAAAGCACATCATGTGTCCACAGAAAGATATTCCGATCTGGAAAAAATCCAAATGTTTACCACGAAGTGAATGGATAAACACAAGGTGATCTACCCATGAAGTAGAATATTACTCAGTAAAACCAAAAAGTGAGCCTTGCCCTGACTAGGTGACTCAGTTGGTTGGAGTGTCATCACAGGTACCAAAAGGCTGTGGGTTTGATCCCATGTGAGCCTGCATAGGAAGCAAGTGATTGAAATTTCCCTCTCTCTTTCAAATCAATGAAAATATCCTCTTGTGAGGACTTAGAACATAAAAAAAGAAAGGAACTATTCATACATACGGACAATGTGGGTAAACCTCAA